AAGAAGGAGGAGAAAAGAAGGAGGAGGAAGAAAAAGAAAAATAGGGTTAATTATATGTTTATAAACAATAATAAAATATTTTACCACTACTTCATTAACATCTTATGTTTTTTTTAAATTATTTATTCAATTTCACTCATTCATTCATTTATTTTAATTTGACTAGAGAGACATAGAGAGGAAAGTGAGAAAGCAAGCCACCAGGTCTGGAACTCGAACCATGGTCAACCATTTGAGAGTGTCCAGTGCACTAACCACCACGCCACTTGCCGGTCCCCAACATCTTATGGTTTAATGTGCATCAAGCTTGGCTCTCATAAACACATATATCTTTACATCTTCAGCAGTGCTATGAGGTTGTCCAGTTTGTAGCAAAGGAACTGTCTTTAGGAGGGTAAGAACCAAATTTGTCCATAAGCCTTATACTATTCCCCACGTTATTTGATTTTTAAGTCAGTCATTATTTTCTGGCTAGAAAAGTAACAAATATTTGCTATTAATTAAAGACACAGAAGTGTACATCTTCTGTCTTCTGTCCTTTTCTCTTACCAAAGAAAATACTGTGGGCCCTGAATTATTTATTTATTTATATTTATTTATTTATTTATTTATTTAGTATTTGCCATAGGGTGCATGAGCTCACCAGAAAGACACAGAGAGGAAAAGTGAAAAATTATCACCAGAGGGCCTGGCCATACTGCAATCCCTTCTCCTCCATTCTCCTCTCTGGATTTGGGGTATGCATGGACATACACTCAGTGTGATTTTCAATATGCTGAGTATGGGACTCAAAACATAGTTAGCTATGTGGGAATCCAGTTCCTTAACTACCACACCACCTGCTGGCCCCATGGGCCCTGACTTTTAAGTCAACAATATAGTTGGTTTATCCTTCTGTGCTTTTTCATTTAACAATAAAACAATCCATTTCATATACAAATCTAATCCCTTCTTTTTTATTTTTTAGAGAGATTTTTACTATAAAGCACGTGTGCTCATCAGAGAGATAGAAAGCGAGAAATCACCCTCCAATGGGGATGGCCACACCACAATCCCTACTTCTCCATTCTCCTCTCGGGACTTTGGGCACACACACACATGTGCCCAGCATGAGTTTTAAGTTGCCAGGCCCAGTACTAGAAGTGCAGTTTGCTACATGGGAATCCAGCAACATAATCATTATACCATCTGCTGGTCCCAACAAATCTAATCTCTTCTTTTATACACTGCCTAGTTTTCCATTTTAATGGGAGACTTATTGAATAACAAGGAACATTATACCGCTTCCAAATTTTACTACCACAACTAGCTACAGTAGTAAAGCTTCTCTACACAGTTTGCACTTCAAAAAACAGTATATCAGGGACCAGCAGTTAACGTAATGGCTATGTCGCTGGACTCCCATGTAGTCGACTGCAGTTCAAGTCCCAGACCCGGTGGCTTAAACTCACGCCA